GTTATATAGTGAGTGAGGTGATTAGAAACAGCTGTGTGCAATCAGTGCAGTGTGCAAATCGTGCAAAGAATGATGGGATATGTAATCCGGGGTGCTATGCAAAAGTTTGTGTTGTGCAAGAGTCAATGAAATGGAAAGGGGGACCTCTGGTGGTGAATAAACGGAAGTCCATGGACTGAATTCGTGACAATAAGCATTATTTTAAACATCATGCACTTTTTCACAGATAGTCATGTTATTGTATTGCTTTGAAGAAACATGCTTTAGTAATATTTTCCCTCTTGTGGCCTCAGGAGAGCAGCCAAACGCATTTTCCCCCCCTCCTAACTGAAATTATGCATTTTTATATTTAAGTACAAAATTCAAATTGAGTTTTTCAGCCATTTTGACAGCCCTAACACTTATACAATCCAGCTTTGAACTTCAGTAACCTTGATCCCGTGTGCATGCGAATAATGATGTGGGACTTTTACCTCTTCATGTGCTCCTGTGCCTCTTGAAAAAACTGATTTTTTAAATCAGTATTACAGGTTTTCTGAGATGTTGAAATATGCAAATCAGGGGTTTTCCGCTCAGAATGAGGTGGAGGTGGTACTGTCCTGATCATGTGCACACATGCATAACAGCTAAAAAGGTGCCCTTTTGCACATAAACATGACTTACGGTCATTAAACACTAAAGAACATTTCATTAAAAAATTCCAGCCACCTCTATTTTTAATTTTACTCACAGTCCAGTGCCTCCTGGATCGCCAGATCGCCTCGAACCCAGCGCACATTTATCACCCTATTCTAAAAAGCATTTCTAGACAACTGATCAAAACATATTCTTATGACTTTACGTGAAACTAGTACGACGAAATGTGTGTACAGTATATTTGTAATGTGTGTGTATATATATATATATATATATATACACGCATGCATGTGTATATATAAGAAAAATGTTATGTTTATATATTAAATATATTTATATATAACAAATTATATGAATACACATGTACATGTAAATATTTTCAAAATATATACTGTATATCTGTGTATTTATATATACACAGTACACGCATATATTATGTAAACAAACTATTATTTTGGATGCAATTAATCGTTTGACGGCACTAGATGATTAAACTGTGATTATTGTGTTGTTTGCACAAATGCATTGATCACCGCTGATCAAAGTGACCGTAAGGTCCTTTATAATGTTACAAATATTTCAAATAAATGAAATTCTTTTAAGCTTTCTGTTCATCAAAGAATTCTGGGAAAAGATGTGTCAAGATATTTCCACAAAATCTGTTTTCAGCATTGATAATAATGAAAACAATCATTAATAACTGAGCACCAATAATAACTGGTGATAATTGAGCACCATCAGCAATTTAGAATGATTTCAATTGTAATATTATTTAACAAAATTACAGTTTTGTTTTTTTTTTGTTACTGTGCAAGAGACTTCTTTCAAAACTCTTAAAGTCCTTGCGCACCAAAACCAAAATGTATCAGATTAAAAAAATTAATTAGTTTTGCATGTTAAGAAATAAACACAACCTCACGTCACACTGCCTCTGGAACTTTTGTGCATCATAAAAAAAAATAATTCGGCTCGGGTTCTATTTTCTACATTTTTCGCATCCGTAGCAAGCAAGCATTTTGAGAAGTGCTTTGATGTGTGCAAGGTTTGGATGATGATGAATATGAATGAATGCATACAAAAAATTGCATCGGAAAAAATCTGGACTAATAATTTAGGTGGGTTCAGGTTAATCGGGACATCTTTTCTCCGGGCATCTCCGTGGCACAGTGTCAAATGACCTGCATCTGAAATGAAAATTTTTCAGTTGCCAGGATGATTGTGAGTTGTTTTGGCTCTGATCATGCTCTCTCATGTTTTAGGGGCAAAAGGAGTCAGCGAGGAGCAGAAGCAGGGCAAGTGGACGGTCATGAGATCCGCTTCTTCACCCCGGTGCGCCGCTCGGTGCGGATCGAGAGAAGCGCTCGGCGTTATCCCACAGCTTTGCAGGAGCACGAGCCCTGTGTGACCTCTCTCTGTGAGCGTCAGGAAGAGGTCAAAGGTCAGAGCTCTCCGGTGTATGTGTACCATGAGAACGAAGCGCTGACCGACCGCGTTCACATTACAATTGTTTATCCAGAGGAGGAAGAAACGTGATGGTGTTTATCAGCACGCTCTGACGTTTTCATTCTGCATTCACTATTTCTCTGTAAAACAGCAGATTTCTGTATGTTATCTGATTGGTTCATACCTTCATTGCTATGCAGCACTGCTGTATGTACAGATAAGATGATGGTTTTGTCTAAATGTTCTGATAAAGACTTGACACGACGTCTAACTTATCTTTATAACTTGTGTTATAATTTATGAATTAGACTCAATCTCTGCATGAATCTTATTAAAGCATATTTGAGTCAGTGTTGCTGTAATTTTGTTCCATTGAAAGTGGAGAGTTATTGATCAAAGCGAACAAACATTTTATGAATCTTTGCATGGCCTGAGCTCTGTTTTTAGATCATTTCCCATTGGTGTTATGTTATAATCCCTTTATCTACAGTCTTCATTGTTTATTGAATCTTGAAACGCACAGGACATTAGGTCCAGTAAACTGATGATTTGAAGGGATACTTTAACCAAACGAGAAATCTAGCATTATTTATTCACTCCCATGTCAGTCTGACTTTTTTCTTTAGAACACAAATGTTGTTGTTTTTCTGGTCCAGTGTTGTTGCCTGTTAAACGCTCTTCAGAACATCGACAGAGCATCTTATCTGCAGGAAGATGAAATACAAGATCTTCAGGAGCCACTGTGTAAAATATAACAAAAACGTACATTTATAAAGCGGAGAGTTCCGGTGCTTGACTCTGATTGGCTGAGCCGCGTTCGAAGCTGTTGTAAATGACGCTACAAAGTAACATACACCTTTGTTTACGTTTGTGTGTTGCTCGGCAACCACTTTGTAGCAACCACAACTGTTTCTGAGGAGCTACATTGTTTGGTGGAAGAATACTGTGTTTATTAATATCATTACACTTTATTTGCTCTGTTTTATTTTGTGAAACCTTACTACGTATATGGAATAACCGTTTTATAAAAGCAGTAACCCCCGTGAAGCCGTGGTTTACAGTGAATTTATAACAGCTAAATCCGCTTCACCTCGTACCTAACAACGCCTCTTAGCTGTTATAAATTCACTGTAAACTGACATGTGTTATTGCTTTATTTTGCATTATTTTTAGAAGATTTGTGGTTGGTAAGATGTTTTTACGTTCTCTTAACAAGGCTGCATTTATTTGATCAAAAATCAAAAAACAGTAGAACTGTGGAATATTATTACAATTTAAAATAATAAAAATGTAATTCGTTTTATAATTGATTTCTGAAGCCAGTGTCACATGATCCTTCAGAAATGGTTTTAATGTGCTGATTTGCTGCTCAAGATTTTGTGGGAATTCTTTGGTGAAAAGAGAGTTCAAAAAACAGATTTAATATTTGAAATAAAAATATGAGAATGAAGTTGCACAGATGTATAAAGCTGAATGTAGTGTGAGATGATGAGATGAGACTGTGTGGCAGAAGTGCCTGAGGAAGCGATAAAGCCCTGATAATGATAGGTCTGTTTGAAAATGTGGAAGTGCTTATTACATTTCCGTGAGTAACGCACGACAGAAATTTGTCACTCGGCAGATGACGCAAGGAATTTTTTGCAGTTCACAGCAGCAGTACGTCACGACAAAACACCGCTCCAGTGCTCACCTTTCAAACAGCTTGCACAACTCCATATTGCTCATCTATAATGGGACTGCAATACAGGTGTATATATTCCAGCGTTCAATACAAGTTCAACTCGATCAACAGCATTTGTGGCATCATAATAAAAAAGCAACAAGTAAAAGACTTCCAATGAAACCGTTCAGGAAACCACTTTTTTTTTTGTTTGAGTACAGCTCAGTTCCCATCTTTACAATAACGTCACAATGCGTTACAGTATTCCAGGTTCAATGCAAGTTTTGTCTCAATGATTAAATGTATTGCAACAGGGTCAAAACCACAGAAATCTGGGTTAAAGTAAAGCACTTCCAATGAAAGTTGTGTGAGAATTTATCATCTAAAATGACTGTGTGGCTATATTAAATGTACTGTCTGCGCTTGGATATTAAGTATTGATCAAATCTGAACTGTTGTTGATGTAATAGTTTTCTTCCTACATCTGTCTTTAGAAACACACACACCTATAAAAACATTGGAATGGTTTATTTCCACAACTCTCATGTTTACAATGGATAAAAATGATCAAACCAAACCTCCCTTGTATTCTATACAACTGTCTTCATTTTTTCTTTTGTACTTCTTTCTAAAAACCCAAACAAAAAAGTATAATTTTAGTTTAAATAATATTTTATACTTGAATTTCACAATACTTTGGTTATTGTTCTGTAGACTGTGGCTGAGTTTAGTGCTGTTTGCTTTAATAAAGCGCACATGGTTTGCAGTAAATGTATATTTCCAAGTGTTTCAGAATTCAATGAAACTGATCTAGTGCAGCAACTGCGACTTCCAAAGAGCCTCGTATCTGGAGAACGTATCTGACGATGATACGATAGATGACGAGAGTTGACAACTGTTAACTAGTAAACCACTAAGTTTTACTTCTAAATTATTAATGCATGTACCGTCTTTCAGCAAATGAAGTTTTGCACGCTAAAGCTTGTCCAGTGGAGAAATTTATCACTTGTCAATATCTTTAAAACCATCTTCAGTCAGAATTGAATTGTGCTTAATTTTTTTAATATTTTCCAGGTTACATTGTTACATTGTGATTAAAGGAATAGTTCAGCCAAAAATAACTCCACTGACTCACCCTCAGGGCAAGTCTTTCAAGATCGAGAGGTTTCTTCGTCAGAACAGATTTGGAGGAATGTACCATTGCATCACTTGCTCTGCAGTGAATGGGTGCCGTCAGAATGAGAGTCCAAACAGCTGATAAAAACATCACAATAATCCACACCACTCCAGTCCATCAGTTAACATCTGGAGCTGAAACAAATCCAAGGAAGATTTTTTTTTTAAGAGTTTCATTCTGACGGCACCCATTCACTGCATAGGATCCATTGCTGAGCAAGTGATGCAATGCTACATTTCTCCAAATCTGATGAAGAAACAAACTCGTCCACGTTGAAGAATTTAGAAATTGTGAACAGTGGAGACACAAGATTTGACATGAATGGTTTTACATTGAGAGCATTGAAAAAAAAATTGCATTATTCAAGTCTCTTTTATTTTTATAGTGCTTTACGCAGTAGAGATCTTTCAGGGAAGTAACCGAATCAGTGATGCACACTTCAAATCCTAATTCTGCTCTAATGCAGCTGCAGCAAGACAATAGTGTCATTATTGGAGTTCATGATGAAACGAGTTCAGTTTAGCGATTAAGCAGCTCTACTGAAAACCGTAGTGAGATTATTCAGCGGGAGCTGGTTTAATGTTGAGTCAGTTCAGTTCCAGCAGGTTAAAACACGTCTCACTGATGGCAGGATTTACTTCATCTGAGGCTACACACATTTTTAATAAATCAATGAAGGCATCTGACTGTAGACATGCAAAAAACACTTTGATGAGAACATCTGAAGCATTGAACCACGTGGGTGCAAATGGCCCGAATTGTAACCAGCTCCAGAGTGTAAGGATAAAAGCAGCCTGATGTTAATGTAATCAATTAAAAACAAGTGTACTTGACCGCACTAAAAAAATACTTAAATACAAGCAAGCACATTTGTAGCACATTCTTACTTTTGAGCTAAATAAAATAATGATATGCTATAAATACGCTAATTAAAAGTATATTTCTACTTAAGTGAGATTGCAAAAGTATACTAAATACCACTGATACTTAAATGGATTTTTAGTGCATTGAAATAAAGTATACTGTACCCCAAAAAGTCTATTTCTTAAAAGTGTGCTTTGACTAATTTAAAAATTAAGAACACTTTTAACACAGTTTAAATTGAATTGATTATATATTTAAAATATCTTAGTAATGTAATAGTTATAAGTACGTTTTCCCAGCTGTGCTACTTAAGTGCACTTAATATAAATACACTAATTAGCACTAACACTGATTTTAAGTGTAGTCGGATGAAGTGTTTTATAACTGCATTGCTTAAAAGTGTGCCACGATCACTTCACAAAAAATTTTAGTGGATTTTAAAAATATATTATAACTACGTTCTAGGCAAGGCAAGTTTATTTATATAGCATTTCATACACAATGGTAATTCAAAGTGCTTTACATAAAAGGAAGTAAAATAATCATAAAACAATAACCACAACAATAAAACAAGGGATTTAAAAACTTTTAAAATTATTAGAAATTGATTTAAAATGAATTTAAAACCGTTAAAAATACAAATGATTTTGCAAAAAATACATCGCACAGTGCTCATTCAGTAAATGCACAGCTAAACAGATGAGATTTGAGTCTAGATTGAAATGTGACTAATGTTTTAGCACGTCTTTAGCTCTTCTGGAAGCTGACTGTATTAAATTTGCTGTTGTAGCACACATGTGAGAGTGGAGTGAGGAGGAGAACGAGGTTCTGCGTTGATTGCGAGCCAGCCTTTCTGCTTCTTTATGCAAAGCCAGTTTCTGGCCTGAGCCGTCCCAGCTTCGTTTTCTACACTGACTGTTTCTTCTTCTGGATTATGCATTGCTCTATAGCACAGCATGCACAGTGCTTCCTCACGCTGCTGAATCCCATGTCTCAGCTGTTTGTTGCGAAAATGGCTTTTGTTAATTCACAGTGTGTCAGTGAATGATTGCAGGCCATTTCAAAGCGGTTTTGTTTTCTAGACTTCAGTTCATTCCTGCTGCTTCACCTGCTGCTCTGCACTGACTGACTGATCATGCTGTGCTTTTGATCTCTCTCTCGCTCTCTCTCTGTTTGTTCTTTGTTTGGAATCTGTTGGCCCTGGATTTGATTGGATTTCAAAATAAAGGCTTATCTGAAGAATTTGTCTAACAAGTGCTTTAGTAACTTTTTTGTAAAGCCCCAGTGAATGCTTTTTTACTCTTCTCATGACTAGAAGGAATTGTTGGTGGAGTAGTGAATTAACAACGCTGTCTTCCACAGCACTGCAGTGTGTGTGTGTGTTTGTGTGAGTGTCTGTGTGTGTGTGTG